CGGCAAAACATTAGATCAACTATGTGAAAATCTTAAGAAATATCCAACTAGTAGAATGGTAAGTTAAATGACATAGTTACTGCTCACTTTTGCAAAAATATCAACATTCAAATAATTATAGATTGTTGCGATATCATCACTATTAAAACATTTATGAATGTTTCAATTTGATATGGCTGCTAAAGCTCATTTCATATGTCTAATCAATAAAGATGGACAAACAAAGAACGATAAAAAACTGCTTTTTTTTTGTATTTGTCTTCCAAAGCAACCCTATTGCAGTAAAGAAGCAACATTCAGAATCAACGTAGAAACTTATAACAAAAAGATACCTCAATCACATAGGGAGCATTATTATGAGGTTAGTGAATTATGCAGTCTAGAATAGTTGGGTTAATTTATAAGTTTTATTCATCCTTATTTTATGTTTATTATCTGGATACACAGGCACTTTCATTTTTACCATTTAAAGGAAAAGTTGCTTTGGATAATCCAGAAAATCAGTTTTCTCTTGTCCTGGACTTTGGGCAAGATACAAATGTAGCAGCTGAAACGCCTTGTAGATATTATTTTGGACGTTTGGTAAGTGAACTGCTTTCAGTCCAAGAATSAACTGCTCAGCAAGAATATGATATTTGTGGATTTTATTTTCAAGTAGAGTCATTGATCAATAAACGACTAATTCCATACTCAGGTCCAGTGACCATGAACAAAGCATTGAGGTGTCAAGGAACACTGCACACAGATCCTATGTTCTGTTATTTTTGAACTGACACCTGTCAATCATTGAAGCTGTGAATCAATCAAGAAATCAGTTCAGCAAATCAACAAATTTATCTTTTAGCTATTTTTTCAACAATCAAATAATCAAAAATTAATCAATAAGTGAATTAATTGAATTCAAATCTCAATGTACACAGATTGGTAAAGGACAACGTCACTTATGTCAGAAATACTCTTTGAAGGATAGGTACTTTATTGGTAATACATCAATGGATCCATTGCTATCATTCTTTATGGCTAATCAAGGACAGGTATGTACAACAACAACATGACTACAATACTATAATCATTAGTAAAATTATAAGGTTCATGTGATATAGAGATACACAATGTCACAAATCAATGTCCATTTCCATTGGAGTAGCCTGTGAACACTTAAACCAATGCTGATAATATTAGACTCTATTATTGAATCTTAAGCAATGACCAAATTGTTCATTGTTTGACCTGTACAATGATACACTTTGATGATTATATTTGATTACTGAAAGTTATTTTGCAATGTCCTTTTTTTTTGACGGTCCCCGACTCATTTTCTCAGGTGTTGCATATTCCAGCCATCGGTAATTTTTTGAAAAAAACATTGTATTTAAACAACCTAAAATAACTTTCAAAAATTGTATATTATTCAAGGGTGCAGATAAATTTCAAAAACAGAATTGTATTTTTATTAGTCATGGTTCTATTTCCAGGCACGACCAGGAACACTGGTGTTTGATCCTTTTGTTGGGACGGGCAGTACTTTATTATCATGTGGACATTTTGGTTCAAGAGTGTTTGGTAGTGATATTGATAAAAACTTGATAACAGGAAGAGGTAGTGTGACTCATATTT